TTTGGCAGTACTTTCGATTTGGGCATGGCCTCAAAAAACTTCAAAGCGTCCTGCCACTGCCCACCCTTCTCAAAGGCACTGATGACTGCACTGTAGCTAATGACGTCTGGCTGTACTTTTGACTTGGGGATAGACTTGAACAGCTTCGACGCGTGCTGCCATTGCCCGCCCTTCTCGCAAGCACTAATGGCTGCGTTGCCGCTAATGACGTTTGCCTGTACTTTGGTTTCCGGCATGGCCTCAAACAAATTTAAAGCTGCTTGCCACTGCCCGCCCTTCTCAAAGGCACTGATTGCGGCGCTGTAGCTGAAAACATCGGGCTGGACTTTCATATCTGGCATGGCCTGAAACAATTTCCAGGCTTCTTGCCACTGTCCACCCTTCTCACATGCACTGATAGCTGCGCTGTAGCTAATTACATTTGGCTGTACTTTCACCTCTGGCATGGCCTCAAGCAAGTTCAAAGCTTCCTGCCACTTCCCACCCTTTTCACAAGCACTGATGGCCGCACTGTAGCTGATGACATTTGGCTGTATTTTTGCTTCTGTCATGGCCTCAAACAACTTCATGGCTTCATGCCATTGCCCGCCCTTCTCTAAAGCACTGATGGCAGAACTGTAGCTGATGACATTGGGCTGCACCTTTGTCATCGGCATAGCCTCAAACAGCTCCAATGCTTGCTGCCATTTTCTGCCTTTTTCGCACGCACTGATGGCTGCGTTGTAGCTGATGACATCTGGCAACAACATTGCATTCTTAACCGCCTCAAGCAACATCAATGCTTGCTGCCATTTCCGGCTCTTCTCACAAGCACTGATGGCTCCATTATAGTTGATGACATTTGGCTGCACTTTTGCCTTCGGCATGCCCTCAAGCAACTTCAATGCTTCTTGCCATCTTTGAGCTCTAGCGCACGTCGAAAGCCCAACTGTGTAATGGGATGCATCCAATGTTATGTTGCCCTTTTTCCTTACAGCCTCCAACATGAACAGTGCACAATTCCATTGCAATTGGTCTTGATAGATCTGCAAGGCTTGCTGAAGGTCCCTCTTGGAGTGTACTTCTTGCAACGAGATCGTTCCAAGTTGTCCTTCCATTTGTTTACATGGAAAGGACAACAAACGTACAACAGATCTGCATCTCCTACCAGTCCTCCCCCCCAAAAAACACCTTCCGGTTGAACCATTGAACTTGGACGGTGACGCTAGCAAAGGGGTGACCGTCGCCTGACCGCCCGGGCGCGACCGTTGGTCTGCCTTTGGTTCCTTATCGGGTTGAAACGGTGCAGCCGGATGTTTCAATTGAAAGGATCGTTGCGCAACGATCAACACGTGGAACTTTGCCTTTATCGGATTGGAATGGTTCCTTATAGCTTACAATATATCTTACATTGGCCACATGTTTATGATGTAAATGAATTTATCACTCTTTGAGTCTCTTGGATGATCCGGGATTAACCTGGTTACAACTCACCAATCAATACCCCCTTGTCCCGCATCCGCTGGTCGAAGAAGTCCTCTGAGCTTGGTGCACTTTAGGGCTCTGGGGCTTTCAAGTGTTGCCCTCTCAGCTCGGCATATTCCACTGGCAGGTGCCCGCTCGTGCGGCGCAAAGAGACATGTCATGGCAACGATGGAGCTAACGCTGGAGCCACAAGACATGCCTTTGGGAGCCGAGTGTTTGCCCTGAGTCTTTTCCTGCGAACGGGCCTGCGAACCCATGAAGAGAAAGGACCCTTGGGGTCCCTTGGGTATGATCAGTTTGGTATACCGAATGGGCTGCGTTCCTGTCTCTGGTGGTTTGAAAGAGACGAGATCGACGGGTCACACAAACTACCGTCACGGTTGGACTGTGACAGTCACTGCCCTTCACCGCACTGTCGAGGTGATTCATATACCTACAACCCCTTTGACCACTGTTTTGACAGGAAAGGAAAGGACCCTATTTTCAGGTTCCATGGTCTTCTTTTCAACATCACAGACATAGGGGGCCAACTCCGGGCCCTGCTCGGTACAACACTTTTGTGCCTTCATACCAGATTCTTGAAGAACCTGGACCAAACACCCACCGGGTGGTTGGACCGACGTTCGGCGTTCTGGGCACCGTTCGGGGTCTGGTGGATTTCCACCGGTGGAATCTTGGAGGGTCGAAGGTGGAGGCCATCGCTATTAGAAGCTACTAGGCCATCGCAAGGCTCCGACCTAGCTCTTGTCACTAGTTGATGGTCTTCAATGGATGGCCTCAGCTGGTCCCCAATAAAAGGCCCCGTAAATTCTCTCATTACAAAACACCCGTCTCGCCAGTTGGAGTTCCATCTGGAACCGACCAACAACCTTTAACCATAGGAAGCATCCTGAACAGAGGAAGAGCGAGTTCCTGTCCAGTCAGAAATGTCTGAGTCCTAATGATGTGGATTCATTCGCATCAGGGTGCACATTCTTCGACACCCACACTGGGCGATCACTATCCTCCTCCGCTAGCTTATTTGAGGCTCTGTTGACCCTGAACCGGTGCAGCTCTGTTGACCTCAACTATATGATACCCATACACTCCATGTATGGAATATATGCCTACATTGACCCCCCTGGCACCACCCCAATGTAGGCATATATGGCAGTCCCATGGAGCGTGTGGGATAGGTAGCACTCATATGGCACCCAAGTCATGGTTCATCTGGCCCATCTGAAGTCCATCTTCAACCCTTTAGAGTTTCGTTCTCTTCATTAGGTGTGGTGCCCTTTGTCCCTGTTTTTTATGCAATGAGCGCTCTGGCCGAGACGGACGCTCCAGCGCCGAGAACTTCAAGTCGGAAATCAATCCCAAACACTCCAAGAGCATTTTTTATATAAAATTAGAAACAGGTGCCTTACTACTTACTAGTAGTAACAAGAAGCTAGTAGTAACAGGTGCCACGCTAGTCCTGAATCTCAGACCGGACCCTGAAAACCGAGCCCCTTTCCCTTCACCGAGCCAGATCGTTCCAACGGGGCGAAAAGCCAATTCCACCGGCCACCGAGGACCGGCCTTTTACGGAAGCTGCAAGACGGCTGGTTACAACCGGTGGGAAGACAGTGCTTGACGGTGGGAGAGGACCTGTTCTTAGATGTGAAGACAGTGTTGCTCATTGGTCGTCTTTTCAGTGGGGGGTTAGGAGCAAGAAGCTACTAGGGGCTCCTGGCATCGCTACTGGGAACAAGGACGCTACTAGGTTGCAGTCCAACTGGCGCGGACAGGGAGCCTCCTCATCACCGATGAGGAGGCTCAGCTGCAGCGATTCGAGAACGTGGTGAATTCTCTGCATGGAATTATATATGCGATAGGATCCATTTGGGATTGGCAAAAAGGGAACATTGGACTCTTCAAGTCTGTAGAATCACCTGGACCCGACTCTACAGGTCACCACCTGCTTTGGGTCTCCAAAAGCCATCTAAGAAGACCAGGTCTGTGCACCCCTTTGGTTCCGTTGTGAGACCCAGACCGTCTCGGTCTAGTAAGACATCGGTTCTACACAAACCATGTATGTATGGAAGAGTTACTTACATGGATGGATCATTAATGGGGTTATGTGTCTATCTATAGACTGCATGGATGGTTTGGGCTGCATCCAAGCGGCGCTCACTGTGCCCAAGTCGGACTTGTTCAAGCCCAGCACGATGGGCACCACTCCACAATGGCTCTTCAACAAGCGGAGACACCTACCAAGTGAATTGGGGGGAACGAGCAAGAGAAATCGGACAAAAACAAAGGTCCAACTCCTGTCATCCTGCCAAGGCCTAAACTCCCAACAACAAAAAAACACAATCACTACGACAAACGCTACTAGTAGCTCCTGGCCTTACTGAGAGGAGCTAGAAGCTACTAGTAACACGGGGCATTTCCACGCTACCAATTCCCAACTGCACATGGTAGGACTCGCTTTCTCTACTTCAACCACTCACTTCAATGTCCTGGTTAATACACCTCACACCCATCACTTGAGCTGGTATGTCTCATGTTGCTACTTCAGCGCCCCCAACCCGCGAGTCCTACCCCTCTCAACCACTCACGACTCGCCTTGCGCCCGCGGCCGACGGCTCGACCGCGGCTGATCGCCACGCCTCGGCAGCGCCCGGCCGCTGGCGCGGGTGCCGTCGCAGAGGACGAGCGCGGCGGAGGCCTCCAACGCGGCGTGCCACGAACGAACGGAGCTCTAAGAGCTCCGCGGCACGTGAAGCCCGAACTGGAGTCTCAGTCTGTCAGTCTGTGTGGCCTCTTTGGGAGATCAGACATCCTCAGCCACTACGACACAGCGCAAATCCCCATGAAATGACTTCAATGTTCACTTGTTCATTGAGGTGTGTATTACAATAGGGAGACCTCCCAGTTCGACCCACTGGAAGAGGGAAATAGACTATCAGTCCACCCTTTGGGGCGATCGAGGGTCTGCAGCTTGATCCAGGATTCATGGGCAGCAAACATGCGGATACACATCTTCTTGGAATCACTGCGGGATATTCTGAAAATTGCTGGTAAGAGCAACGACTGCTAGGTCACATGGTGGAAATCACACCGCGGATACCGTTGCCTTCTAGGTCACTTCACTGGGATCTTCATCGCAACCAGGGCATTCATGGTCCACTTGCCACCCAATCAAACCATGGAGGTAATTATCGGGTAAAGCCAAAGTATGTTAAAGGCTGAACACAAACACATGGCATCATCTTGTAATCATATAAAACATTAGTTATAAACATAAAAACAAAGCATATAAGCACGAGAGTTATAATCTTATGTATAATACATTTGTTCTTTCAAACCTTCAATGTGCCCAGAAACTAGACCCTGCTTTCTTTGGGCACCTGGAGCTTTGAACCCACCCTTGGTGCAGCTCCCCGCAAACGACGTCGACGCATGTCCACTCCCTAGAAGTGGAACCACCGTTTACTTAAGAGCCTTTACTGAAGAACTATATACTGTAAGGGTTTTACACTACAAAACCATGCAGATCCCACGATTTTTAAACATTTGCTGGGACTTCTAGGGCACTCGACCATACCGGCCCTCTTCCCAGTAGTCTATTCCCTTCATTTTGAGGTCAACCGCTGCTGCCCACAGCGGTTCCCCAAAAGAGACCTGTCGACCCAGGCGAGAAAGGGGCGAGAGGACTCGGGTGCCTCCCGGGATCTATTCACACACACCCACATATACATTGATCATGCACCATGAAAATGGACCCATCCACAGAAACGGAAGACTACGTAGGCTAACTAGTAGTCTATACTCTATTTCTCCCTAAGTAGTCTACTCCCTAAGGGTCCAGGACCATCCTGAGGATGTTCTTTGACCCCCCGTTCGACCATTCTCTGGAAGTACGTACTCACCTCCAAGACCATTCGGAGGAGGTACCTGGACCCTATGGGACTATACACCCCCACATGACATGCATCCCGTATACCCCATTGGACCGATCCTCGCGTTCGCGTTCGCGTTCGCGGACCCCACCTGGCGGAAGGAGCTCTCGGGCGACTCCAAGCGGAGCTCCCAGACCTGGGGGGACCGGACCGGTGACCGGAACAGAAGACTTCTTGCAAGACTTGTTCTCAACAAGTGGTGATGATGTGACATTCCATGGATATATATATATATTTATCGTATATATATATATTTCACATATATGATGATCTCTATGACATGATCTATGATATATGCTGAATTTGCCTAATTCTCTATAGATGGATTCTATTCTATTTAGATTATTTTATACCTGAACATTCCAAATCCTTGAACTTCTTCGCAGTTTGCGGAAGTGACTGCTTTTCTTCCAAAAGCGATGAGATGTCCCAGCTAATCGACTAAATTTACTAAATCTACTATATTTTCAAGACCTCTGGCAGGTGCAGTGCACTGGTGTGCCCAAAGCTCGTCCGCCAGAGTGTCCTTGGCTCAAACAATGTCAGTGGCAGTGGGGGCCACATGGGGATGGATTCACCGATCCTTGGCCTACATGTTTAACACGTCAAACGGAGAGCAACCAAAGGAACGGAAAAGATCCAAACAAAAGAGCTTTGCCCCTCAAAGCCTACATGTGTGGTGAATTGAAAGCCTACCCTCCAACATCTCTCCAACTTGTCCCTTTCGCGGCCAAGGAGTCATGGGTGTGACTCAAGAATCTTGAGCAGGACACCGGTTGGGGACGTTGCGAAGCCGCATTTGGAAGTTGATCAACAGGAAAGCAATCCTTTTGAAACCGGATGACTTTAGAGTCTTAGAGGTTAATTATAGAACTTGAGATGACAGTGGAGCTGAAGCAGATTGAAGGGTTGGGCCACACGGCCACACAGTCTTTGTTTCACTGGCCCAGGTTTCGCTGTGGCAGCAAGTGGCACTTTGAGGTGCAGTCCCGTCGCCCGTGCGATTGCGTTCAATTGGTCGTCCGATAGATCGGCGTGTACACACTTATCGTTTTGGGGTACCTATAGATTTGTGGCTCAATCTAGGTCCTAGGTCTTTTGGTGCTGCCATAGGGTTTGGCTTTGGATGTCTGCGCTGCTGGAGCAAGCGTCAACGGCTTTGGCTGCAGCTTGGGAGGGCGATGCAAAAATCAGAGCAAATGCTCGCAAGCATCAAGCAGCAGCCACACTGAATTCATGTATATAATTGTGTTTTTGTTTTGCTTTACATTGGGTTTCCCGCACCACACGCCCAGCACAGCAAAGCCAGCCAAGGTAGTTGTCAGTGGAGACGTTGTCACCAGACAGGTTCTTGTGGACAATGAAAAGTTCATGGAGTTGGCGATCAATCATCTTGGAACACGTGCTTCTGTTGATGTGATTGAACTTCACCTGAAAGCCCTCTACGATTATATCGCCGTTCCAGTTCCAAGCACCTTGAATTCAAATATATATATATATATCACTTGAATCCTCTTTCATTGGGGTGTACACTAGGTTGCACAACTATACCTTTACTCTTCCAAATTCCTATCAACGCAGCCTAGGCGGATCCATCCACATGCAAGCCTGGCATTGCCGGCGGGCCCTGACGATCTACAATGATATAGTTCGGCGTCTTCACTTGCCACGGGAGGCAGAAATTCGCAGGCTTCTGGCTAACACCGGGGTTGACCTTTCCTTTTTTGGACCATCTTCCAAAGAGGAACTGGAGCTTGAGCAGGAAGCCGAGGTACATGCTGAGGAGGAACAGTATGAGTCTGAGGCTGAAGAGTGTAGTGATCCTTGTTACTGGGCTCAATCAGGAAAGGTTACATGATGTTACATGTATAGACAGTATAGACTTTCAAACCTATCGGAGGGTACCACCGTCATGTGCGCAACCTGCACCGATTCTCAACCCAGCCAGCTCAATCTGAGGTGTTGAGCCTTCTGCTGTGGAGCCCCTGCCGGATATGGAGACACATGTGGAGCCCTTGCCGGATATGGAGACACGTGAGGAGAAGACTGATCCTGTTCAAGAGATTGCTGAGGGAGAGCGTGGTGATTCGCATCCCCAACACAAGAACGAGATCCATGACAGTTCTTTAAGGGATTCTGCTTCAGCGCATGGCCGTCCTGATGAGAGTCCAGTTTCTCACATGCATTAAATTATTTGATAAACAAACCATTCGTGTTTAAGTCCTTTCAAGTCTCCTGGAAACCCTCAAATGATCCCTGCACCCAAACCCATCCTTCCCGATGTGAACCCAGGCTCAATCTCTCAAGGCTGCTGCCGCTGCTTTGCAGAAGGCTGCTGAGCCACCGCCAGAGTTGACTCCTGCAGCCAAAGGCGCTGAAGTGAGCTGAAAGGGTCTGTGGGCTGACCACCTTAAACCCTGGGGTGATGTGATTAGGTGGTCAAGGTCACACGCTCCCCTCTGTAGAGTCCCTCCTACCTGAGTCGGGTCATGCATGCTTTCGCCATTGGGAGGCCCAATGATCCCTGCAACCACACCGTCACCGGTCAAGATCTATGACTCGCAGCGGGAACTCAGGATGGTGCAGCTTCAGAAGCTGCAGGGTTTGTTGCTGCATCTTTCCCAGCTGAACGATTTGCAGAAAGTGAAGGCGGTCAAACAAAAAATGGAAGAACAGGGTTGCGTGATTGCATATTATGTTTGCATGGCGCACTGTGCATATTAAATATATATACGTACATGCTATCCACACAAGCTACCAACAATCTAGGCTGTATGGACTTGGCCGACACCCAGCCCATTGATGGCTCTCAAGATGTTGCGCTAGTGGCGACAGCAGCTGCGCCTCCAATCCCAACCGAGCCCTACAACATGAGTCAACCCGCGACACCACAAGTATTCATGGAACAGGCTTCGGGTGAGGTGGCAAAGGGCCAACACACAGTGGAAGGCAACAAAGCGCCAGAACAGCCCGCGACAAAACCCGCGACAGCACAAGTATTCATGGAACAGGCTTCGGGTGAGGTGGCAAAGGGCCAACTCACAGTGGAAGGCAACAAAGTGCCAGAACGACCAGCCCAGCCCGCGACAAAACAGTGGCTTTCTGCCACACAAGTCATGGACAGGCTCAAACGATTTGGTGAGCGTCAGGACCCAGCCAACCCAACCCGAGTTTCCCATGGGTGGCGCTCTGAAGCAGAAATGAGACGCATGTGCAAAAAGAAGGTTGACAAGGCAGCCGAATCGGCCTACAATGATGGGCAAATTTGGGTGCCTAACGACAACACTGACACCAACATGGACAATGGGAAGGGAGGCGTGGACAAGGGGAAGGGAGGCGCCAACGCTGACACCAACATGGACAATGGGAAGGGAGGCGCCAACACTGTCACCGGCGTGGAAGATGGGAAGGGAGGCGCTTCTTCGGGTATCCCACGCCCACCTGGTTGGGACTCATCAAAAACAATCAGCGCAGAAGCTCAGTGCCCCCCCCAAAAAGCGAGGTCGCAAGCCAAAGGCTGAGACGGATAAGGACACGGCAAAGGCCAAGAAGAGCGCCAAGGGAAAGGCACCTAAGGCCCGTGCCAAGGGAAAGGCAAAGGCAAAATCAGCTCCCAAATCCAAATCCGCACCAAAAGCAGCAGCCAAGCAAAAGACCACCGCAGCAGCAAAGGCAAGCGATGTCCCAGAGCCAAGTGGAAAGAGGGCTCGGCGTACCGCAGCAAAGGAGGAGCTCACTCACACACCAGGTGCTGATGAGCTTGCGAAGCAAGAGAAGAAAAAGCTGCAAAGTCGCAAGTCTAGTGCCTACCACAAAGCAATGGCAGCAGCCAAGAAGCAGGGACTTGCAGAGGAGGAGTGCAAGGCAGCAGCCAAGCGAGCAATCTGGATGCACATAAGTCATAAGCATGCCAGCGCAATGCACGTTTATATAAATTAAGGCGCCAATCCTTTGCATCAATTTAGGCATATGCGGAGACCTCATGATCGAGCCTGACCTTCACAAAATATGTCATCGGGGGACTGACCATGTCCGGGCAAACACCTTAGATGGTGGCTGGGCAGGTAAGTGCAGTGCTATTTTGTTGAATGCTGCCGCCTTAGACGAATGATCGGATGGCTTGCAGCGGGTGACATAGCTACTGTAGAACCCCAGCTGGTAGTGGCTGGTGTGATCCTGGGCATGGCAGAAAAATTGCTGTGCGCTTTGGATGGTGGGCAGCGCAACTCCACTAGCCAGTAATTACTGTAAGGTCACCAAATATATATATATATATATATAGACTTATTGTACTGTATGTGGAAAGCCCTTTTAGTCTTTAAACCCTCAACCTTTGAACCCTTTCCTCACCCTTTGGGGTATACTCATTCTTTTCAACCCTCAACGTCTGCGCAGGTGCGCCATCCAGTTGATCGATTGCAATGCCCCGCCCAGCACGGTATGCATCAAGGGCAGCCTCTTCAAGTACTGCTGGCCATTTGCAGTGTTTGCGCACGTGCGTATGAGTACATGAGCTGAAGTTCATGTGCAATCGGGGTATGTTGACATAAAATCATATGCGTCGTACGATTTTTGAGACACGGTATGCACACGTCACGATCGAAGTCTTGCACCCTTGCCTGGACATTCTAGATCGCAGCCATTTTGGACATAGCCCAAGTCCTTAAGGCAGGAAAGCATGCCTCCCAAATGTGGGAATACACCCCGAGGAGTCCCCAGACATGAGAGCCTACTTCTTTGCCTTGCGCAAATTGGGGCACCAAAAGTTGGGGTCTCAATATATTACTGGAGAGGTTTGTTTCAAGTTGACAAAAACTTGTTGGTCCATGGGTCTCGCGCTCATCCCCCGAGCAGGTTCTCTTGGGCATCGTCATCCTGCTGTCATTCACAAGCAATGTGGGTGTGGACCAGCGCTTCACGATGCTAGAGTATTTTGCTGGGAAGGGAAACGTTTCGGAAATGTTTAGACAGAGCGGTGAGCACCGGGTGGGATCCTACGAGTTGGACTATTCATCTTCGATGAACTTCCTATCTGTTGGGGGATTTTCGAATCTCGGCTTGAGGAACAACATGTGCAGTGGCCATGACTATGACCATGTTTGCAAACATTAACTGACCCTGGGGATTCTCCCATAATGCCATGAGGTTGGCCATAGCTATGGCCCTACAATCTGCTGTCCGCATTTCATCTCTATGCGCCAGTCTGCTCTTCGTGGACTGTTGTTTCACGTGGGACGTCATGGCGAACTGCCATGAATGCACTTGGAAACTTGACAAGCTCATGGGTGTGTGACGCCAATCGTATGCTGTCGAGGCATGTTGAAGCAAGTGTGTGTTCATGGTTTACAGCTAGCTGACTAAAGTTTTCTGGGTATGGATCACCGGTACCTTAATCTCCCAATGCAGGCTGACCATCATGTTGCTATTATCTTTGGCCACTCACGCCACCTTTGTTGTCGAGCAACCGCACGGCAGCGGTGACGTCTTCCCCAACCACCCGCGATTCAGCTGGTTCTGCAACAGGGTCTGCATCGTTCCTTGGCGACAAACTTGTGCCACGACTAGTTGTACATCCAACACCAGTGGGTAGCTTAAACATAGAGGTAGTGGCAATCCTGTTACACCCAATCTATGCATGTAGAACTTGGACAGGTTGCTTGGGTCGTCATGCAGTCTTCTAGGTCTGGCGACATAGCTTTTGGATGATGCATCATGGTGCTGATTCGTCCAAGAGGACGATCTTATGGTCAAACCGGGCGAGGTTGATCCACAAACTTGTCCTACCCTCAGGTTTTACCTCTAGATGCCAAGAGTTTTTTGGGCATGGTGCTTGTTCTTGTTTCTGAGGACAAGGGCAAACTCAAGAAAGCTATGAGGGTCAAAAAAACCAAGGTAAAAACCACACGCCTGCACCTCAGAACTTCTTTCTACCCACGGTCCAGTGGTTGCAGTGGCTGGGTTCATTCCAAAAGCACATGAACTTCTCTCCACAAGTTGTTAGAACTGCTCTTACCCCAGGCCGATATAAAAAGCCAGATGGCTCCTATGGCTTCCATGGTACAAAAGAATTGAAATCGACGCAGTACAATCCTCAGAGTGAAGGATATGTGATAAACATGGTACGTTTGTTCATGTTTGTTGCCTGAGGACCTATCCAAAACTGTTTGGAAGGAACCTGGTCTCACTCTGCCGTTCTTTGAATATCGCCCGGGACCCTTTGGCCTGCCTTCGTCAGAAGGCAAGCATTCAACATGTTGATGATTTGTCCCTATTTCAAAACATGGACATGGGTGACACATGGCCCGACGCAGAGCTCAAACAAGTATTCTTCTACCTATACAGGAACCCAAGGCTGAAACTGGATGATCGATGGGCCCGTACTATGAAGGAGTTTGCAAAAGAGCTTGAGGGGGCCCCTTGGCTAATTTACATATATGGCAATTTCCTACCTACAGTAGCTGTTCATACCAACACAGGGCCCAGTGGATACTCTTTGTTCGGCTGAGGTCAATGACATTGACCCATTTGGGTGTGAAGCGCACAGCTGATCTCTCTTTAGAGCTCGGGGGCAGGTTGGCCAACAAGTACCATAGCTATTTTCCACACGCCCTGGCAGCGTTCTAACCTGTTATATGATGAATATGCTCGAGGAGAATTACCCGCAAAAATCCCGCAAAAAAACGCAAAAATCCCGCAAATACCATCAAAATCCCGCAAATCGCGAAAAGACGTATTCGCGGATTTTCAAGATTCACCTGGTTGTGGTTTGGTTTCATTAAGTTGCCATTTTGGCGTGTGTAGCACTGGTAATTCGATGATTTGAGCTGTCGACATGGGAAAATGGTGATCGAGTCAATGTATACGTTGGCTTGGGCATGATCGAGGATCTTTAAGTGAGCACGTTTATGTTGGAATTCATCTGAGAAAGTTTCTGGCTCTCTAAAGGTGGATTGAGTGTGTAGCCCCAGTGCAAAACATGTCGGATCTTACTTTGAAGTCTTGCCTCACGATGAATGAAGGTCTGAATTTGGTCGCTGCCCAACACATGTCCTCGGAGGCGATCGATGAGATGATCCAGGTTTGATCCTCAAGTGCCCAATAAACCCATATATCGGATGAGTATCAAAACACGTTTCCGCTTGACTCTTCTTCTCGGCTTATCGTGCTGACAAGGCGGCTTCTCGGGCAGTGGCTCATCTCCAGGAAGAAATGGCTGGAGGATGTGGGGGTGACCCTGCCATGGGAGGCCGTGGCTTGGACGAGTCATGTCGAGTCGACCACATGATATGTTAACTCAGTATATGGTCGACAGTCAACATTAGATTCCAATTCTAGCTGTTGAATCTAAGGTGACCTATTTCAACAGCCTACATTGCATGGCCCTTTTGTTCCTGGACAACCTCCACTGTCTCCACAACCCGCATTGGTGGACCTGGTTAGCCCAAATGCGGAGGAGAGACGTGACCAATACCAGAACCGCTTTGGCAGGGGCCCTCCTCAGAGTGCAACCCTTGGCAACCTGGAGGCTGTGTTCTCAGCAGAGACCATCCCAGGGTTTGGTGCTCCAGAGGTTCCAGCCACGTTTCAAGACCCAACCAGTCAAACCCAGGTTCCATTGATTGTTGATTCTGTTGAGGGATCCTTGCCAAGTGCGCCCTCTGCACCTTCCGACCTTGCCTCTACCGCGTCGGCCCACCCGCCTCCACCAGCTACTGGTGCCTTGCCGGCACAGCCAGCTGCTGGTGGGGCAAAAGCCTTGCCGGCAAAGCCAACAGCGAGTGCCCCTCCAGATTCCAAAGATGTCTATGAAAATGGCATGTACTGGAAGTAACTCAGCTGATCAAAGCGTACGTATATATATATATATAATATTACAATGAACCATGTGCAGGGCCCAATTGTGGGCCAATCAGGGTTGAACTTTGATCGCATATGTACATACGATTCCTACTACGATTCCTATAGAGCGGAGTCTTGCGATAAGGATGCGACGATACTTCAAGCCTTCGAGCGGCAAATGCGTTGCCAGCAAAGAGGCCATGGCCATGTTTGAAGACAAGACCAAGCGAATCATGGAAGCAATAAACTCTTTACGTTGCCTTTGTTTGCTTGCGCATTCAGTGGCCTGGGAAGACCTGGTTTTGTCTTATATACGGGCAGTTGGCGTCCCATTTGCAGCACGTGTTTAGGAGGGAAGCTGGCTGAAATCCTCAAGAAGGAGGGCAGCTTTGCTGCAATGGAGGTTCACGTCAAGCATCTTCACTCTCAAGAAGAAGCCAATCGGACAGATGGTGGGTGGCATACTGTCATTTCTTTGCAGCAAAAGGGCTGGACACCGTAACATGGTTGCACATGGACATAGAAGCAGCTTCAGCATATGATGGAATATATAATATATATATATCCTGCAGTATATAAACATGCATACGCTTTCTGCGCGCCATCCCAGGGAAATGATTTCCAACGCCCGCACATGGGCTGCTGCACGGAACCTGTTGCGAGTAAATGAAGTGCACAGGGCTGAAGAGTTCAAGGTTCCAACTGAGAGTTCTTACAGCTATGTGGAGACCAGGAGGCAAGAGTCAACGCGCAGTGGAACCTTCGAGGCTGAGGATGATGGAAGTTTACTTGATTTCTCTGGCCTTTCAGCCGATGCTGCGATCACGCATCTAGTCGGCCATGATGTACTTGTGCATTTCAGGGTGCATGGTTTGCGTGCGCATATAGGCTTCCATGCTGCCTGTGAAATCTTGCTGAGGCGAGGATCGTCTTCGGGAACTGCAGGTCAAGTGGCGATGCAAAGCGCTTCTACTTCGAAGGTTCAGAGTCTTCCCATGGTTCAGCAAAATCAGGATCCCTTCTGCTCCTTGTTTGAAGTTGATGGTGGCGCAACTGCTTTCCCTCGTTGGACCTCCCACGACCACCAATAAACCGGGCTTTGGGGCACGCATCTTTCGCTTCAGGCTACATCGCGGATTACATCGACAGCATGGGGAAGAAAATGGACAAGCTCGATGAGCAAAAGGACCTATAGACATATGCACATTACCTAGAGAGGGTGAGGGAACACAAAAGGGTCCACACCAGCCTTGGGTGTGAACCCTTTTGTGTCCTCTTGACCTGTGTTGATAGTTTCTACCATACGCTATCCTGCATGCATTGGCCATGTTACATGTTGTACGTCGCTGCAGGACAAGATCGCTAAATATGGCACTTCACGCGCTGCTGAGTGCCCAGCCGGAAAGATGTGAAACGGATACGTACTTGCTGATCAGTGGTGCCATGAGATGTATCCCGTGAACCATTGTTCTAGTCGATCTACTTCAGGATGGTGAAGTCCTTGGAGGGTGCCCGCTCAGAGTACAAGTCTGCGTATGATCAGCTCACACAGTTTCAGCAAGACACTTGCTCGATGGAAGCTGCTACGGCTGCTTGGCGCGCGTGAAACCGACAGTACTGCATAAATATATTATATATTATATTTACGAATGCGTATGCAACTTACTTACGTGCCCCCTCACAGGTTGAGCAACAGAAGACACTTCGAGATCTGTTCGTCCAGTGCACCAAGAAGGATTGCAGTCTCAACATTGTCTTGAGCCGTGCCAGGCACACTTGAAACTTTAAAGCTGTTATAGCATGTTCGTGTATGCATGTGTTGCTCACATGTGTGTGTGTGTGTGTGTGTGTCTGTGCGTGTGTCGCTGCAGTGATCTGCAGTGTGCCTGGGAGGGCCTTGAAATGCGCCAAGCCGGCCGCGGCGAAGGCCCAGGCCAAAGCCTCGGCAGCGAAGGCGAAAGCGAAGGCGAAGGCCAACTCTGAGCCAACAGGGGAGGCCTCGGAGGCCAACGCCTCGAAGGCCAACAGCTCGAGAAAGCGTGCAGCTTCTAAATCTAAAGCTGCACCAAAAAGGAGGGCCAAAGGGTCTGCATAAGCTTTTTGTTTGCAAGCCATCGAGAGGTTCAGATGGCCGTGCCTAGTATGTCATTCAATCACGATTGATCGAATCGTGAGTGGGGTTTTTGCACCATTGTGTGTGCGTATGGGGTTCCTATAGAAGACATGTGGAGAGATCGGGAAGAAAAGACAGTACGTGCCTTTTGCTGTTTATTGGTTCACGTTCCAAACGCGTGCCAAGCACGGCACGTTTTTCAACATGAAGTCTAGGGTCACTCTTTGGCCAGGTGTGCATGCCCGGGTATCCTGCTCTTCAATGCTTGGAGGACTTGGGTAGACTCTCAAAACTTGGGTTCCTGAGGCCTAGCGCTAGGTCCTCTAGGTCTAGTCTAGCTTTTGCAGGATATCGTGAAGAAAGAGATCTACATTTCTTGGAAGACACTGAGCATGCTATGGAACTCTTAGAGTCCTACTTCTCTGGCGTGTTTTGCTCGCAACATGTGGTCCCAACAGGGTGCTCCATCATTGGAAATTGTTTTTATAATTGAACTTAGGCTACATCCGCTGAGAAAACTTCAAGGATCGCCCAAATTGCCACCAAAAGATCCCAAGGAAACTTGGCTAGCCATCCCAAACTAGCTAAGAGATTGTAGAGATGCCTCCAGCTCAGGAACTGGCTCACTTCTATGCCGCATCGCGTCTGCCCGGCTGTCCAAAGTGAATGTGAACCGCAACCTGCAGCGGATCATCCGGCAAGCAGGGGTTTCCCTGCCAATTGATTTTGAACTGGTTGCCACTACCATTCGCCTACGAAAACCCAGGCCCAGAATAGTGCCAATTTATTGGCCGACCCTCAGCATGACTTCGTGGTGCAAAGTCCTTCTGGAACACTACCCAGAATTCATTCTGGGGGGATACCGGCTTGATCAAGAGGAGGAATGGAGAAGCCTTATGGCTTGGTTTTGGGAAGGTTTCCACCAATACGATCCACTGCACCCACTCTATGACACGGATCATGATAGGTCTTTGTGCATCCCGATCATGACGCATGGAGACGAAGGAAAAGGGCTTAAGTCTCAAAGTTTTATGGTGCAAAGCTGGCAGCTTGTCATGAGCTTCAAGGGCCCCAAGTTTACCAACAATTCTGGGAACCTCGGATGTACAGCTTGGGAAGTTTTTATATATATATATATATTTGGTGGTAGGTCACTAGCCGTTGCTGCTGCGTGTATCCTACGTTAACGTACATGTGGCACCAAGGCACAGTTTTTGCACAAGGCTACTGCACTCGTGCATAACATCGAGACTATTCAACAAGGATGCCACACTTCGAGATATAAACACTTCGTGGTCCAACCAAATGGCAGCCCTTTTCCACAATGGGTTAGAGGTGGGGGTTGGCGATGCTTTTGAAGCATTGTTTGCATGTACAAGTTAACAACGCGGACTGCTTTCATGAAGTCTATCCCATAATATCCCAACTCTTGCCCGCTAGGTGGCTGGCAAAAGGATTCGCCTAATTTGGGTGGGTGGCAAAGGTGATTGGCCATACTTGAGAAAGGCCACCGGGCTGCATCAAAGGTGCTTCTGAGTTGAAGGTACTTTTTGGGGGGGTGCGGTTGGGTACAGCCAAGGCCTTTTGCCTCAGCACAGGATTCCAGTGCCGTCGCATTTGTCACATATGCAGTGGGAAGGTGGGGTTTGCCCAAAACCATCCAAAACCGTTTGACCCTTCGATGTCTGCATGTCCAAAACAAAATGGTTTCTCATGTTTTCCCTCTTGGTTGGGATACCTGAAGATCACCCTTGAGGAGTGGCATCGTTTCGATGATCAAGCTCCATGGAAACTGGAGGAAGAGCGACCTGGTGCTTGCCCCTTTCACCGTGACGGCAACCCGTTTTCCTTGATCCTGCCAGGGGCATCGAACCCCTGGAGGATCAAACCAGATTTGGTTCATACGTTCCATATTGGCTTCGGAGTTGACTTGTGTGCTTCCAGCGTAATGTGGGCGGTCAGGAAAGGTAAATTTCCGGGCGTCTCCATTGAAGATGGTATAGCATCTGCATACGCTCAGTTTCAGTCCTTTTGCAGCACCACTCATCGGTTTACTTCGTGTGAGCTGTGGGGAAAATTGGCCTTCAAAATGACGAAGATCCTTGAACTAGATATTAACATCTTTGCATGGTTCAGTGTGTCCCAAAATGTTTTGTGGGAAGGTCAACAAAACTAACCATGTGCACATGTTGGGTGTTGTTGCGCAAGGAACGATAGCTTTCCTACATCCCTTGATGGCAAAGGCCATGACACTGGTGTGGTTTGCCGGTGGTTGGAGGCAGTGCTGTTGGAATGGGTTCTTTGGCGGCAATCCGTTCTTTCAGGCGAGAAGCCTATAGACAGCGAGCTTTTGTTCACCCAGCAGCTCCATAAATAGGCTCCAACAACCTTGGGTCGTGCCAAGGACTGCGATGAAGACTTGGAGCTGATGAAGTTTGTTTTTCGCCAGGCCAACTCAATGTTTGACATCCTTTATAGTCATGGAGTGTTTATCCCACCAACTGATGCTGCAGCAGCTGGCCGCATGGGCCTTTCCTTTTGTGAACCTTACAAGCATTAGGTAACATGTCAGGGTGATGCAATACAATCGTCGATTGTATACCCCGCTGACCCAAATCCAAATCACCCAAGGACGGCTACTGCCAGCTCGCAGCCAGGGCTTATCCAATGAAGCTCTTCAAGATGCGTCCTAAAGTGCATATGATGGGAGAGATATGTCTTGAAATGTTGGTTCAGGGTGAAAAAAATTTGATCACCCTGAACCCTTTGTCCACGTCGACGTGGACAGACGAGGATTACATAGGAAGGGTGAGTAAAGTGCAGCGCAGCTGCCACAGCATGACCTCGTCTTTTAGTACTTTACAAAAAGTGCTCGGACTGTATTCAATGCAGTTCATGCGAAGTGCAGACAAGAGGCGGAAGAGATGATCGAGGTGAAAAGGCCCAGCTGATCAGTTGATGAAGTGTATGTGCACATTGTGATCGCGCCTGTTGGTGTGGTCGCTGAGAAAACAAACCAAACGACTAAATTAACTAAATTCACTTGAAAATGAGAACTCCTAAGAAATCCTCGGATTATGAATGTCTAGGTAGAGAATCAGGTTGGTACCGTCTGGCACGGACTATTGCCCCCAACCATGATTGGGAGGGGCTTATGCTTTCGTTCTCCCCACACACCCTCGCAGGATTCTTCACACACCTGGTCACCTGGGGCGATGTTTCCGAGCCTATCTTGGTTCGCAGACCAAGTCTTCAACCACTGCTAAACCTCGTCTATACCGCGGCCAGTGACGAAAAACCACCGACCGAGCAACTGACTGCGCAACTGAGGATTCGCAGGACCAACTGACCGGTGTGTTCGACTGCATGTTGTCTAGACCAACCGTTCTCCGCAGGCGCCTGGAAGCACAGCTCTCCGCAGTTGGTCATGAAGCGCAGCGCCAACGGCGCACCGCCCGCGGGGGGTGCCACAGCGAACTCGCCGGTGGTGTGGCGGAGGAGGAAGGCGGTCTTGCCCACCTCGGACATGGCAAGCCACAGGTGGGTTTGGATGATTATAGAGAATCCGGATCAATGATGAAGAAAACATCAATGACCGAATGATGATGATGATGATGATGATGATGATGATGATGATGATGATGATGATGATGATGATGATG